GAGTTTGAATTCAGCGGCTGCGTCCTTCAAAGGCCAGATTCGTCGGCTGATTACATCATAGCACGGCGCCGAGGGTCTGTTCCGATAGAAGACTCCTCGTTATGCGGCCGACAAATACGTCCTTCCAAACAGGACGGGTCCGCTGTATCCTCCGTAGCCATGGATATCCCATGATTCATTGTGAATCAAAAAAAAGCCGGCTGCTCCGTGCTCAGAGGGAAAAGGGAAATGGCGCCGAACAGTAGTGAATATTGGAAGTGCAGTTTAATATAATACAAGTATGTGAATAGTTCCATCTGAAATTAATGAAAATAGTTGTTTTGATGGTTATTGAGTCAGATATGTGGCGGTAATGTTTGGTTTATTGAAAGGTTTTATCTGTTACTGTGTAAATGGGTTTGGCTGACAGAGTGGACATAAATCCATTCAGTGAATGGAATCTATTTTCATCTAATAAACCATGAATCTTATTCATAAATAAATTATTTGATTTGTTTTCAGCTTTAGCCTCCAATAGAAAGCAGCCAGAAATTATTTTGAAAAGCTGATTTTGCACTGAAACTCCCAGGATTGTAATTGCTGGGTTTTTTTTTTTACTCGGGTAAAAGGAATCTTTCTGCTTCAAGCAGAAAATCAGAAACTGGATTTAAATCAGATCAATTATCAATGGAGGAATAAACTGAAGTGTTCCTCCAGTCCAGTGGGTGGCAGTAGTAAAGGCGCCACTTGACGTCTTTGCTTAAGCCTCAGTGTAATTTCTGTCGCTTAGCAACAGTGACGGCGTGGAGCAGGCAACCACAAAGTGGATCTCAAACTTTTGCTTAGTTTCTTTGTTTTTCTGGATTATTAACAGGTCGTTAAATGTTTGCCTTAAAGATGAAAAGATAAGCAAATATTAATTTCCTTTTTTGCTCTCCTGGCATCCACTTTGACATTAGCGAGGTGAGCTAGCTGCTAGCAGCGGGAACAGACATCTCTGAAAACACTGGAGCACGTTTTATGAAGTTACATTCTCACCAAAAAAACATCATAAAAATTATTTTGTTTTAAAAAGTCTAATATAAGCAAGTTTAAAATGTTTTTGCTTTGTTTTTTGGTTTTGTAGCTTCATTGAAGGAGGGTCACCGATTAGCACACAGCCCCACACCTAAAATATGCTGCAGTAATCTGAAGCGCTAACGGACCCGGAGCTTTAGTCGGCGCTGCGGGACGTTTCATTTACTCGTGTATATTTGTGCAGAAACAGGTGGAAGCAAATCCCAGGTAACGTCTGAAAGCCCATGCAGAGGAAAAGGGACTAATAATGTTCATTTTTTAAATACTTTTACGTTTAAAGATAGTGAAGGTTCTGTATCACACCAGGACACCTTAAATTCTGACTGTGTCCAGGATATAACCAAATGTTTCCCCTATGGTCAGAGCTGATACACGCCACATGGTCGAAGGTGAAGTTGCTGAGAAGCAGCAACAGAGTTGATCCTGCTGTAAAGTTGCCAACAGCTCAGGTCCAGCAACCAGAGAAAAAATGTATTTAATGATTGAGACACAAACCTGCTTCCACCCGACGTTTCTGTGTTCCCCATCGGATCCCTGCAGGACGCCGATCCCCGCTCTCTGCTCGGCTCTGAGGTCTCTCAGGAGGCCACGCCTTCCCCCGGTTGCCAGGTGTGCTTATGCACCTGTCCTACTGTGTGTGTGTGTGTGCTGTCTAAAGTCTAAAGTCCTGCACTGCTGCTTCGCCTCCTGCATGTCTTTCAGTTAAAGCGTCAGTAGCAGCAACTATGTCACACCCCAAACCCAAATACACGGCAGGCTGAGAGGCTGCCAACGCATCCAGCCGAGCGCTCAGAGACGTCCTGTGACACGGAGCGGGCTCTGGCCTCTCCTAATCAGCCTTCAGCCACTGGATCATCTGACTCCACAGAAACAAATTGTTTCCACTCTGCTTTGTTGTTGCCCACAGTGCCTCTTTTCATTATCGTAGCTTCAGCTGAACTAAATGTGCAGCAGAGGAGCAGCCTGGCCATCGGGAAAGAGGGTTAGTGATTGGCTGGATGGCTGTTAACCTTAAGCCTTTATTACTGAAGGAGAAAAGAAAAGAGCTAAAGATCATAAAAAACCTGACGAATGTCCAGCTTCTTGCAGCCGACAGCAGATACAGAAACGGTTCAAACATTCTTCCAGAACAGAGACAACGGTCCTATGGCTCAAACAATTAATCAGATTAATTAATTATTAAAATAATCATCAACTCGTTTAGTAATTGATTAATCATTAACTGGAGCATAGAGACTCTAAAATGAGCTTTTATCTGACAGAGCGACCCACTTAGAGCAGGAATTAGACCAAGAATCTAAACAAATATATATATAAACATTTTGGATTTAAGATTTAAAAAACAAAAAATGCATCTGCCAATCAGCTTTATCCAGAACTCCTCCAGTGGAAAACTTTTAGTTTCAGCTGGTTTCATTTTTTAAAACTATGTTTTAAAGAACCTTTTACTTTCCAATTATTAAAAAATAACCAACAGATTAATAAATTAACAATACTTAGTTGCAGCCCTAAGCAGTCCCAGTCGTTATCACAGGCGGAACGACGACGACATCAGGCGGTTACTGCGTCATCCGACAGTCGCCTAAAAACGGTGAAATAGATTCTTTTCTTCCCACCAAATCAGATCCAGTGCAAAACGTATCCTGGTGCTGATTCTGCCTCCACTGGTTCCAGTTAGAGACTTTGCTGGTCTTACATATCAACCCTCTTATTAAGGGTTGGGGGAGGGGTCCTGGAAGTGCAGCAGCCATTTTTAAATGTCCTCATTGAAACGTTTGAATGCTGCCACCTTAACATCAATCTCTGCTTATCTTAGACTAAAGATACGTATAAAATTTGAGCTTCAACATTAATAACAAGTCAGATTCATCCTGAGGTAATAAGCTGAGCTTCTTCCAGCTCATTAAAACTGATCACATGGTGTGTAAAGTTTAATAAAACGGTTAAAACAACAGCTGATTTTTGATTTATATACACTGGATTGCAGTTTATTTCATAAAATTAAAATTACTTTAAAATTATCAGCTGTGCTGCTGCCATCAACACCTTTGTTTCTAGATGTTGGAGCTTGGCCTGTT